TCTCGAGATATGAATATCTTTAACCTCCTTGTTTCAACTGAGTTTACATTCAAGAAATAGAGGATTTTTTCATGATATTTTTCTGGAAATATGAAGCAAATATTAAGATCAGAGCTGTATTGAAATCAAATGCAGTGCAGGATTAATTAATGAGCTCTTTGGTACATGTCGTACAATAAAAAATATCTGTATTAAACAGCTAGCCTGAACAATTTGAAAGATTATGGACAATCATGATGATGGTGTGTAAAGGTTTGCTTTTTGCTAAAAGTTTTATAAATGCCATCTGGTGTTTCTGTAAATGAACTGTTTGTTATAGTAAACAGGTTAGTACATGAAAATCTAGAAAAAACTACTTTGTTCAATAATGTGCCAAATTATGCTCTTACCTCGAAATATTTGCTCAAGATAAGCTTATGATAACATGCATGAAATATTAAATACAGTACTGCATCATCTGACAAAATCTATACATTTCTCAATTCCGGGTGATTAAAAATTCACATAAGATGCATTGCTTGCAATGAAGTTGAGTGTGGAAGAAGCAAAAATTGATGGCAAAGAACTTTTTATGTCTTGAAGAATTACGATATCATTTAAAAGAATATAAGAAGCAATCTAGTAAAAGAAGCGACATCTGTCTTCAACATGAGACTTTTCCAGTTCTGAATAGTTTCTTTGTACAAAATACTATTTTAGATAAACTTGATTTTTAAGTCATTCACTGATATTTTTATCTAAAGACGAAAACAAAAATTCAAAGGCATAATGTAAAATTCAAAAGTTTGTCAAGTTGTTTGAACCTAGAAAAAATTAGTATAGGTAACTGTAATTTGTAAGGACACAAGAGAAAAGTAGTGCAAGAAGGTTAGCATTTTTGAGAATTAATAAGTTCTTCTTGACATACATTACAAAAAGCCATAATATTATAAATAATGACTGTACAACAACAATTATACAACATGCTAAAGATCTTCACCCACATTAAATTATTTAAACAGATTTGCCTTCATGCAGCAATAAGAAAAGTGTTATGTCAGAGAAACCAATGCACTTTAATTTAAGAAATCGTATTTTCAATGGGAAATTAATATAGTTCTGTTCAGTAGTAGATCCATGATTGTCAATGACAAGCCACTTTCTAATATCTTGGCTCAAAACACAACCAGCAAAATGAATATAGAACTTCTGAATTTCGTTCTTTTGCTCTCCTAGTTCAAGATATTTTCTTTATAAGTTCATCATAATACCTTACAAGACACCCAGAATCAATCCTACCAAAAAAAAACTCAAAAAAAGTGCATACCTACTTATAGTATATTTCCAGTCGACTTGAGTCGTAGGGGTAAGCTAACTTTTTTCTAACTCCTTTTTGGACATTTTAACTAAGATTTACCCATCTATTCAAGAAAGCCAGTTGCACCAAGCTGTTAACAAACAGTCAAAAACACAAGCAATGCACATGGGATTATGCATTAAAGCTTAACGACACATTGACAGAGTAAAGAATGCCGTTTTATATTTATTTCTAATATTGCAAAAGCATTACTTGACAAAATATACGTTATTTTACTGTAAATTTACCTCATTTAAATGTGTGTGTCTATTTCACAAAAACCTGAAGCATTATTTTCAATATTTTATGCTTACGGTATCGTGGTTGTTTTCGCTAGTTGTCATTAATATAAGCAGGAATAGAGATCCGGATTCGGAAGGAAGCGAATGTTAAAAATTTCTCTTAAAGTGGAAGTTTTGACAACCAAAATCCGCCATTACCGCCATGTTTTTTACCACGGGGTCCAGGCCCTTTTTCCCTCCAGGTCTTATAGAACTCAATGTAACCGACTGATAAGCGGGGTGGCTTGACTGGTTCGACTGATAAAGGAGTCTATGAACGCCCAAAACGCTTATTTTATTGGTCAATGGCCAGATCAGTAGACAGTCTGGAATGGTCTCGACTGATAAGAGGGGTGGCCGGACGTATAAGGGAGTCCAATTGCTATATTACAATTGGTTCATTTGAATTTTTGTTTTATTGTGATTGGTTTGACCGATTTCGACTGATAGCCAACTGAACTAACATAGTCAAGCTCACTGTCTGAATTGAATGTTTGATCGTTTTATAGTAATTTTATAAGCATGATAGAAACTAAACTACAATCAGATGGAATTTATGGAAATCTTTACAAATTCATATATTGACATGAATGCTTCATATGACATTCCTTTCACGAGAAAACATGAGCCCAACAATATTGACCTGCTCACTCATAGCTCAGTTGGTCAGAGCACTGCACCGGCACCGCAGAGGTCATGGGTTCGAATCCCGTTGAGTCACCTGATTTTTTCAGGTTCCTGAGACGATTGCTTAAATTGTCCAGCAAAGTGCGAAGATCATATCTTCATTTCATTTCAAACACCGCACTGCATATAACATTCATACGACATTCCTTTCACGAGAAAACATGAGTCCAAGAATATTGACCTGCACATCACTGTGTGACTTCATAGCTCAGTTGGTCAGAGCACTGCACCGGCACCGCAGAGGTCATGGGTTCGAATCCCGTTGAGTCACCTGATTTTTTTAGGTTCCTGAGACGATTGCTTAAATTGTCCAGCAAAGTGCGAAGATCATATCTTCATTTCATAGTCAAGCTCACTGTATGAATTGAATGTTTGATCGTTTCATAGTAATTTTTATAAGCATGATAGAAACTAAACTACAATCAGATGGAATTTATGGAAATCTTTTACAAATTCATATATTGACATAAATGCTGCTGTCCAAACTGTGAATTTTTTCAAGAGGGTGAAAAATTTATGGATAAATTGTAAATGCTTGGCAAAGACGATCTCGCGAGCGACATTTCAGTCATTGATGTTCAAAAGAAAGCCAACATTTTTTTGAGTTTTATCAGCAGAGATTTACATCCAAAATCTTAAGTAAAGGACAAGTGAAGCGTATGCATAAATGTAATATATCAAAGTCAATTTATGCGAGCGTGTGATGCGATTTATGTTAATATGGCGTATGGTAAGCAGATTGATGCTTCTAAAATTGTTGTTGCCGACGGACTTTTAGTTATGATATCTTTAGTGCTTGAGGAATCGTGACCGTTATATGGCAGCGAAATCCTACATTCCTGCAAATATATTTCAATGGACAAAAAATCTGTAGCCATAAGGCGCCATACTATTATTTACTTTATCATAAACAAATGTTTGAGGCTTTTCAGTTTATGATCATTGATTATTCAATCATTGGACAGTTAAGATTTGAGAAGACTAACATTGATTACATGAGAAACTGTTTATTATAACCTGTAATTTTGAGTTTTTTCTGATCTATGAAGCTTTTTATTTTGACAATTTGACTGGATTCTTATTAAACTTTAGTATTTCACATACATGAAATGTTGTCACGTGTCACATATCGTCTCCTTTTCTAATTGAACACCTCATGTAGAGATGTCAAGGTGTGTTGATCTACAGCTCATACCAGATTGTTTTCCATAAATTCCAAAGGGCTATTGATGTATGAAAAGCATTTTCTATAAAGTAAAATGTGTTCCTATGTATGCAGATAAACCTTGAAATTTGGCAAAACAGCATAGTATTTTCATGATCACTAGGTAATTTTTCTGATGATCATTATAATTTCTAAACTAAATTATATCAGATTTACATTTAAACGAGCTTTGATCATATGAAAAGATATTTATCATAACCAGTAAGCATGGCACATGAACCAATTTTAATATTCATGTAATTATAAAATTAAAGACATATTGGTCACATTCTGTTTGTATTTGAAAATACAATGCTAATACGATTGCTATATAGCACAACCTGCATACTCTTACAGAAGATAATAGTCTAGTGAAATGCCTAATAAACATTTATAGCATTAAGCTGTCCTTTACTGCAAATTTTCACTCTGATAATTTTGCTTAATCTTTGGCAGAAAAAATTTTGAGTTTTTTCTCAAAAGGTGAATTTGTTGGCACTGATGTGGGGATGGGTAAAGGGTTACAATAAACTTGCATGGCTTGAAGTCTGAGCTTTTCTACATCTATGAACTGTCCCTTGTAGTACCAAATTTCTAACTTAACTCATTACATAGAGGTTTGAATGGGGGTCTCTAGGGGGGTCTATGCCCTATTCAAGTATTGTTCACTTTTTTTTGAAAAACGTAAGCAAAATGTGTAGTTTTTACTGAAAAACGATGCCCACAAAATACATTTTGTATTGCTCTGAAACGCATTTTCAAGGCTCCGAAATTCAAAATTTCTCAGGGGAGAACGCCTCAGACCCTCCAGGTGCAGAACGCCTCCGACGTTTTGACTGATGTTTGAAAATCCTAGATCCGCTCCTGCGCAAACTCCTTCCTTTTCTCCTCATTGTCAGCCAGTCAGAATAAGTGGCAACATCATCAATGCACTCAACGAAGCCGATGATTCATATAAACATTCAGACAATTGAGTTAATAACTTTTCATTCTTAGGCACTCTGTAATCACGCAATTTGGTTTGAGAAGATAGAAATAAATGACATGAGCTTCATATGCGACTTAAGGCGACTCACACGTTTTTGTCGTACGAGCGATGCAAATGGGTCGTTAGACCAGCTCTTGATTTTAAACTGTTAACAAAGTCTCGCATATACAGAGAAGGATTGTAGCTAAGATATGTAGGAGTTTTATGACAAAAATGTATGATTATTTTTCATATTTTTCATACCATCGATAAAAACATTAAATTTCAAATTACAAATTATCAGTAGAATAATTACTCTGCTGAACCAACGTCAGGAGTGGAATGCCTTATATCTTCTAAATAAATGCTGGTCTTCTAATTTTCCATCGTTAGTATAAATTTTTAACCAAGTAAGATCATATTAGCTTAGTTCCCTGTGTTTTACTAAGCAGTCAATACTCCCTAACAATGACTCCTGTATCCAAATTGTTGATTTACATTATGTATTCAATGCATTTTTTAAAGGAAACGAAGATGGAAAAGTGTCTTGAATATCTACCAATAAAAAGCTTTCCCTGGTTTGAAAGTCTGATGCTTATTCTATTTGGCGTATTTGGCACTTTTGTGATTGGTTTATCAGTAAATTCAAACAGTCATAATTCATTTCATTGTTTTAATGAGATTATATCAAAGACCAAAGAAACCTCTCTTATAAAGAACATTGAATCAAGTTGTTGGAGACAATACAAAAACGATTTACTGTACAACCAGCCTATTGTTCTGATGGTGACCTTAAATGTGAGTGTTGTCTTAGTTTTGAGTGTCGTCTATGGATATTTTGTGAAGCATCGAGTTAAAAGGTTTGAAAACGTTGATCCATCAGTTAACAGTGATAGTGATAGTGAAAATTTATTGGCACAATATCCTCAAGACGCTCAGTTCAGAAACGCTTCATTTAATGATCGATTTTGCCTTTATTTAACATACATTTTATATTTAACTATTCGGCTTATCAGTTTGATCATATTTGTTGCCATACTTTTCAAGGCAAAATTTCCCAACAACTTCACCTGTTCGTGGCATGAAATGTCAAAGCTTTCACTTCGTTCAACGTCACAATTCTCAATTGTAAAAATGATGGTGGGGATAAAAGTGAAACCATTTTCTATGTTGTTGCAGCTGCTGATGTTGTTTTGATGATACTGACAATTTTTGAGTTAATATATTTGGCTTATATGTTCTACAATTTCAGAATTTTTGCTTCAGAAAACGAATTTTTCACGGTTTTCATCTTGCAAAACGTAGTGTGTTTCCTAAACGAATGAAAAGAATTAAAAAAACCTACAAAGAATTTGAAATATTTGAAGACTTTGGTGGTGATAAAAAGGACTGGCGCAAGCTTCACGATATTTATGTGAACGTCATAATGCAAACAGAAAGGCAACATACGAACGCTTACCCAGAAACTTTTGAAAGGCATGAAATTTTTAATTGTCATTTCGACATTCAAAGCAATTCCCAAAAGTTGACAAAAGTGACGGAAATTTTTAAGCCAATCAAGGGTGAACAAGAGTTGTTATATCCACGTTCTATTTTGGTTATTGGTAGGCCTGGAATCGGTAAAACTATGCTAACAAACAAAATTATGCATGAATGGAAAAACAATGAAGATGAATTTTGGCATGACAAAATAGTCTTGTTATTGCGATGTCGTGCTCTAAAAACTGGATCAATAACACTGAAAAGTATGTTAATTGATTGCGATGGATTGTCATGCACGCTGTTTCCTCAAATTTACGAAGATATACTTAATTATCCAGAAAAAGCTGTCTTGATCATTGATGGTCTTGATGAATTGTCTATAGAAAATGAAGGTGGAAGAACCGCTGGCCCTGTAAAACATGATGCTAAAATGCCAGCATTTCAACTTTTAAGTATGTTAGTAAAAGGAGATCTGCTACATGGTAGCACTGTTCTTATAACATCACGACCTACAGCAGAACATGCGTTTGAAAGCTAAAATTTAGCAGGACTATCGAGATTTTGGGCTTTTTTGAGGATCAGATGAAGGAATATGTCGGCAAATTTTGCCAGGAAGATAAGCGTAGCAGAGATTTTATTTTGAATTGTATCGATAGCTCTAATGAAATTCGTAGCCTCTGCTATATCCCCGTCAATGCATACATTGTCTGTCTGACCCTAAAAGAATGCTATATAAATGATGCAAAATTTATTCCAAAAACTACCACTGAATTGTACAAAAGAGCAGTCAAGATCTTAATTTGGAGGCACCATCCACTTTGTAAAGATGGATCAATACCAAAGCCTAACAAAGGATATCTGGTCAAAGATTTGCCGAAAGAACTTGAGAATGACATGAAGATATTGAAAATTTGGCAAAAAAGGAATTGAGACAGGAGTTTGATTTTGATGAACCAAATTTAGCAGATAATAAAAATTTAGCCAATTGCGGCTTGTTTCATCAATTACCAGATAAACGACGTGATCTTTATTGTTTTCTGCACTTGACTCTTCAAGAATTTCTTACTGCATGGTGTGTTGTTGACGATTGGCAAAACATTGAAAGGTTTTGGGATGATCATGCTGAAGATCCAAAATGGTACATGGTGATGGAGTTTATTGCTGGTTTAGTCGGAGATGCAAAGAAAAGAGAAAAGATTGAAGACTTCAGTGTTTTTACAAACAGGTATGATATTTATTTTTAAGTGCTTGAAATACCTGCTTATGGAAGTATGTTTTAATTCTCTTAGACTTTAATTTTTTAATCTAATTTATTCTGTTCAAACTAAAAATTTCTTAATTTGGTGGCGAGAATTCATACGCACTCATTCAATATAAGAGTGTAAAAAACGCAAACACCAATTAACTGTTAAACGTGTGTTACGCCCATCAACAACACATGAATAAATTATGCACTTCAAAATTTGATTATGACACAGTTACCAAACTTTTCAAAGCTGTGTAGCCCGGATCGATGAGAGTGGAGTGGTCAACCGTCAAATTTAGTCCAGTTATGCATATATTCTCGAATTTATTAAGTGCAAACACAATAGACATAAAAAATAATTAAAAACCAAAAATCCTCTAAAATCTACATCGCAAGACTAAAACTTATAGTTCGCTACATATCTTATAAATGATTTTGGTTTGCAAAGTTGGCCTTTTGTAAAGAATGTTGGCCTTTTGCAAACTCTCAGAGCATTGCATGTTACTGCATATGCTAATAATATTTTACTCAAACCTCGTATGTTAATGAGTATATCAGTAGTACGTACTTTCTTGAAACCTAGCATGTTATTGAGTATAACATATTCCACTCAAATTTTAAAGGACACCAATTTTTCTGTAAAAAGCGTTGTTCCCATATAGTTGTCATTGTAAGTTAAATACAGAAAAAGCAATCACTGACGTAAAAGAATTGATATGAGACAAGAGTGTATTGCAAAAATTTTAACTTGGGGAGCTCTCTGATATATATCACCAGCAGGGCAAAAAAGATGAAAGTAAGTTTTTTTTAAATCTTAAGAAGAAGGGCAGACTCCCCCCCCAAGCACACCCTCCTCCAAAACCCCCCCCAGATAAAGGAACGCTAGTCGGCGATAGCAATTGACAACAAATTTAATTATTCTAATCAGCAGATAGAAATTAGTTGCTACGCAGCAGGGACTGATCTAGGACTTTTGAAACGTAATTCAAGAAACGCCGGAACCATTAGCTATCTGGAGGTCCGGAAAATTTTGGTTTTCAATGTCTCGGAAGCGAAATTTCCGGCATTTTATATCAAGTGCTAATCATATTTTGTAGGCGTTGTATGTGCATAAAACTAACAGTTTAATATCATTTTTAATTGAAATGGTGAACCATACTTACTTAATTGGCTGTTTTGCCAAATTTTGTGGCTACGCAGCTAAAAGCCTTGGAATATGGAGTTAAGACATTTAAGCTTTAAAAAGGAAAAATTATCAGAATTTTAGTCAACAAAATCACGATGTTCTTAGTAGATAATTGTATTTTAAAACAAATAATGATTTAAATAATAGACAAATTGAGCAATTTTAAAAGTTGCTTGTAGGCTCAGAATTTTCACCATTATGATCTTTGGCTGCCTTGGGGCTCATGTTATTTTGTTAAGTTTTCAACGAAATTGTACAAAAATGTCGAACAAAATTAACTAAACAAAATTTTCGCACACTTAAAAAATTAGCCGGACCCAGAGGCTTAAAAAACGTTAAATGGGAGTGTATATTTCTATATTCTGTTGTGCTAATGATTTCTTTTGAAATTCAAATTACTTTCAAAAGAAATCAGTTGGACACAACGGAATATATGAATATATACCACCCACCCCAATTAACGTTCTAGTTACGCCACTGGCCGGACACAAAGCTCATTCTCCCTTTATATTTCAATCGATTTTTTACGCTTTGCACCAAAGCATAAATATTGCCATTAAGAACACTAACCACGATAGGCTAACGCATGTGCGTGTTTTTTTTTGAAATATTGGCGTTGAGAATAGGGAAGGTTCTTTGTACTTATTGCTAAATATCCCATTTAATTACAACAATTACAACTATATGCAAACTAGACTTATGCATTATGGTAACATTAATCGTTTGTGAATAGATATTAGGCATGCTGCCAATATGCTGAATATTCAACATCGTAATTGCAATTTACAAACTTCCGAATCAACAATAACATGACATCAACAATATGGTTGCTATTATGTTATTATGTTATTGCTCTTTCAGTTGAATTTGAATGTGAGATTAAAGTTATTATTCACGATTGTTAACAGTACGTTTTTGTTTCATATATTCGTCATCATTTCTCTGAGAATAAAGAGGCCCAAACACAAACCTAAAACGATAATTTTACATACGGGGTACTTTTGCCAAATCTGTAGGTTAAAGGCGCATATTTCGAAAATGAGTTTTTAATAAAAAAGGCTTTTGAAAGAGAGACAAACGTCGTAGAAAGTTTTGTGTGTATAGAAATTTCTCCAAAAACGAGCCAGATAAAGGTAGCTATAATTTTACATGACAAATAATCTCTTTTACATCTATATACAGTCAAACCTGTTTTAAGGACTCACATATGAAGATTTCTCGTGTGACCGTTTAATACAGGTTGACCGCTTATTATAGTTCTTTAGGTAAATCACCAAATGCGCTACGTGTAATATTTAACGAATCGCAATTGTTCTTTAGCATGCAAAATAACATTATGATATAAAGCACTTTTTTTCTTAGTTTGAATTAGAAATTAAAAATAGTATACATAAAAATGTCACAACACAACATTGAGAAACGTTAAATTGCTAGCGTTATTGTTCACACGAACAGAAAATATTGTTGGATCTTTTAATTCATCTTACGAAAGATAATACAACATAAAGTCATGTATACAATATAAGTGACATATTTCAGGAAAAATATTTAATTATATATTTTATTATGGGGCGTATTTACTTAACCTGACCGTTTAATACAATTTTAAAACAATAAAAAATTAAGTTTGGGACATTGGAAAAGGTGACCGCGTCCGCTTAATATAGGTGACCGTTTAATAAAGGTCGCTTTAACAATATTTACACCATGAAACTTCGGGACTTTGCCATTTAACCGCTTTACAGAGAGTGACAGCTTAATACGGTGCCGCTTAATACATGTTCTACTGTTTAAGTAAAATTACAAATATTTTGTTTCTTATAAACTTGCTCCGTGATGTTGGGAGGCACATACATGACGTACAATTATGATTTGTTTTCTAAATGAAGTTTTCGGCGAATTAATTAATCAAGACATTTCTAAATGAATTTTGATTCCTCTCACCTCTTCCATGCAGTTAACTATCACGCTGCCAACGCAACTGAACTGGCTGTTCTGACAAGCAGCAAGGAGTTTTTACTTTCATGTAATATTAATTTGCACTTGGCATTGGTAAACGTTAAGTGCATTATCTGATTTATTTTAATTTATTTCTAAAAGATTATAGCTAGCTATTGTTACCATAGTTGTTTTACAAAAACCCTTTAACTAAGATTCTTTTCTGAAGGGCTTTATTTTTTTGAACAATTTAAACCAAACTCTCAAAAGTTTTACAATACGGTATATTTTATAATTACAGGTTAAAAAGTTGGATCTCACATTTATTTTTCTCTGAGGGTAATAAAGCACTTGGTTTTTTTGGAATGAAGTGCTTATACGAATTACAAGACGACGATGAGATGAGATCAGCTTGCGAGTCAAATAATTTTTCTGAAACAATATCCATTGATAACGTTTCTTTCACGCCTCTTGATTCAAACGCCTTCTTTGATTTTCTCTCTGAATGCCGACAATTAAGAAAACTCGCGTTTTTTTCATGCCAATTTCCTGATAATCATAGCGTCGTTAGATTGTCAAAATATTTGACAAGCAAAAGCATGCAATGTAGTCTCTTTGAAAATTAATTCATGTCGTGTCAATGATATATCAAAACATCTTAGTGAAGCTTTAAAAAGCGAAAATTGTAAACTTAGTGAATTGGAAATTAGGAAAAACAATTTAGGTAAAGAAGGTGCTAAATATCTTAGTGAAGCTTTAAAAAGTAAAAACTGTAAACTAAGTGAATTGGATATTCGTTTTAATAAACTTAAAGATCAAGGTGCTAATTTGCTTATTCAAGCTACGAAAGATGAGAACTGTAAACTTACTAAATTAAAGATTTGTGGCAACAATATAAGTAAACAAAGTGCTAAATCTTTTACTGAAGCTTTAAAAAGTCAAAATTGTAAACTTACTGAACTTGATATTCACTTTCACACCCTAACCAATGAAAATACACAATCACTTAGCAAAGCCTTAGAAAGTGAGGATTGTAAATACGCTGAACTCTTTATTCTTGAAATCTTTCTAACTGCGAAAGAGGCTAAATGTTTCAGCGAAGCTTTAAAAAGTAAGACTTGTAAACTTATTAAACTGGATGTTAGTAATACTAAAATAGCAGCTGAAGCTGCCAAGTATCTTAGTGAAGCTTTGACAAGTGAGAATTGTAAGCTTACTGAATTGGCTCTTAATCAAAACAATATAGATTATGAGGGTGCAAAATCTCTTAGTGAAGCTTTGAAAAGTGAGAATTGTAAACTTACTAAATTGTCTCTTAATCAAAATAATATAGGTGATGAAGGTGCAAAATCTCTTAGTGAAGCTTTGAAAAGTGAAAATTGTAAGCTTACTGAATTAGATCTTTCTTTTAACAAAATAGGTGATGAGGGTGCAAAATCTCTTAGTGAAGCTTTGAAAAGTGAGAATTGTCCAAGTGACTTGAATCTTAGTGGTAACAATTTAGGTGATGAGGGTGCAAAATCTCTTAGTGAAGCTTTGAAAAGTGAGAATTGTAAGCTTACTGAATTGGATCTTTCTTTTAACAAAATAGGTGATGAGGGTGCAAAATCTCTTAGTGAAGCTTTGAAAAATGAGAATTGTAAGCTTACTGAATTGACTATTTATCACAACAATATAAGTGATAAAGGTGCAAAATCTCTAGGTGAAGCTTTGGAAAGTGAGAATTGTAAGCTCACTAAATTGAAACTTGGTGATAACAATTTGGGTAATGAGGGTGCAAAATCTCTTAGCGAAGCTTTGAAAAGGGAGAATTGTAAGCTTACTGAATTGGATCTTTCTTTTAGCAAAGTTGGTGATGAGGGTGCGAAATTTCTTAGTGAAGCTTTAAAAAGTGAGAGTTGTAAGCTTACTGAATTGGCTCTTAATAGAAACACTATAGGTGATGAGGGTGCAAAATCTCTTAGTGAAGCTTTGAAAAGTGAGAATTGTAAGCTTACTGAATTGGCTCTTAATAGAAACAATATAGGTGATGAGGGTGCAAAATCTCTTAGTGAAGCTTTGAAAACTGAGAATTGTAAACTTACTGAATTGTCTCTTGAAAATAACGATATAGGTGTTGAGGGTGCCAAATCTCTTAGTGAAGCTTTGAAAAGTGAAAATTGTCAGCTTACTGAATTAGGTCTTTCTTTTAACAAAATAGGTCATGATGGTGCAAAATCTCTTAGTGAAGCTTTGAAAACTGAGAATTGTAAACTTACTGAATTGTCTCTTGAAAATAACGATATAGGTGTTGAGGGTGCCAAATCTCTTAATGAAGCTTTGAAATGTGAAAATTGTAAGCTTACTGAATTAGATCTTTCTTTTAACAAAATAGGTGATGATGGTTTAAAATCTCTTATTGAAGCTTTGAAAAGTGAGAATTGGAAGTCCGCTGACTTGAATCTTAGTGGTAACAATTTGGGTGATGAGGGTGCAAATTCTCTTAGCAAAGCTTTGAAAAGTGAGAATTATAAACTTACTAGTTTAAATCTTACAAGCAATCAAATAGGAGATAAAGGGGCAAAATCTCTTAGTGAAGCTTTGAAAAGTGAGAATTGTAGACTTACTGAATTGGCTCTTTCTTTTAACATGATACGTGATGAAGGTGCAAAATCTCTTAGTGAAGCTTTGAAAACTGAGAATTGTAAACTTACTGAATTGTCTCTTCGTATTAACAATATAGGTGATGGAGGTGCAAAATCTCTTAGTGAAGCTTTGAAAAGTGAGAATTGTAGGCTTACTGAATTGGATCTTTCTCATAACAGTATAGGTGATGAAGGTGCAAAATCACTTAGAAAAGCTTTGAAAAGTGAGAATTGTAAGCTTACTAAATTGTCTCTTATTCTTAACAATATAGGTCATAAAGGTGCAAAATCTCTTAGTGAAGCTTTGAAAAGTGAGAATTGTAAACTTACTGAATTGGGTCTTTCTTATAACAGTATAGGTGATGAAGGTGCAAAATCTCTTAGTGAAGCTTTGAAAAGTGAGAATTGTAAACTTAGTAAATTGTCTCTTTCTGATAACAATATAGGTGATGGAGGTGCAAAATCTCTTAGTGAAGCTTTGAAAAGTGAGAATTGTAAGCTTACTGAATTGGATCTTTCTCAAAACAGTATAGGTGATGAAGGTGCAAAATCTCTTAGTGAAGCTTTGAAAAGTGAAAATTGTAACCTTACTGAATTGGGTCTTTCTTATAACAAGATAGGTGATGGAGGTGCAAAATCTCTTAGTGAAGCTTTGAAAAGTGAGAATTGTAAACTTACTAAATTGTCTCTTTCTGATAACAATATAGGTGATGAAGGTGCAAAATCTCTTAGTGAAGCTTTGAAAAGTGAGAATTGTAAACTTACTGAATTGGATCTTTCTCATAACAATATAGGTGATGAAGGTGCAAAATCTCTTAGTGAAGCTTTGAAAAGTGAGAATTGTAACCTCACTGAATTGAATCTAAGTGTTAACAATATAGGTCATGAGGGTGCAAATCTCTTAGTGAAGCTTTGAAAAGTGAGAATTGTAAACTTACTAAATTGTCTCTTGATTATAACAATATAGGTGATGAAGGTGCAAAATCTCTTAGTGAAGCTTTGAAAAGTGAGAATTGTAAGCTTACTAAATTGGATCTTTCTTTTAACAAAATAGGTGATGAGGGTGCAAAATCTCTTAGTGAAGCTTTGAAAAGTGAGAATTGTAAACTTACTAAATTGTCTCTTAATATTAACAATATAGGTGATGAAGGTGCAAAATCTCTTAGTGAAGCTTTGAAAAGTGAGAATTGTAAACTTACTAAATTGTCTCTTGAAAATAACATTATAGGTGATGAAGGTGCAAAATCTCTTAGTGAAGCTTTGTACAGTGAAAATTGTAAGCTTACTGAATTAGAGCTTTCTTTTAACAAAATAGGTGATGAAGGTGCAAAATCTCTTAGTGAAGCTTTGAAAACTGAGAATTGTAAATCTACTGAATTGTCTCTTAAAAATAACGATATAGGTGATGGAGGTGCAAAATCTCTTAGTAAAGCTTTGAAAAGTGAGAATTGTAAAGATATTAAACTGGATATTAGTCAAATTAAAATAACAAAGTAAGGTGCGAAGTATCTTAAAGCTTTGAAAAGTGGGAATGATAAACTTACTGACATTAGATATAAAATTCAACCGTTTATTGCATAAATTAATTTGCTAATTACATTAAGCAAACTTAAAAAATATATATTTGACCTTACAGTGAAAACAGCCAGTAATCATATTTTGATAAAATTAATTGAATTGTCCTTTTTTTGGGGTGTAAAAAGCACTTGTTTTATATCAATTTATGGTCTTTGCATAGCATTCAATGTTGAATCAATGTTCTACCTAAGAAATATTTTAATCAAATTATTTGACACATTGTTACAGCGACGGAAATGTGTTTTTTGTTTTTGTTTGTTTGTATCAATTTGTTATCTTTTGGCCAGCATGCTATCCTTGCAGAATTCTGTGCTCTACAAATATGAAAACAAGTTTGAAAACTCCTGCTAATGTTTCTGAAGTTTCTTTTAAAGTTTTTTGCAGTAATATCATTTTGCAGAAACAAATGTCCATAGAACATATAGAATAGATGTTAAATTCAATTATAATTAACTCAACAATGTAACGAATGTGTTTGCCTCAGAGACATTGTTAGTATGCATGTGTATTTTTGCAATGTTGATTCTAAAGTCTTTTCACTTTGGAAATCTTCTGGTTAGCAGGATGTTTAAAAGAACTTGTTTTGTGGCAAAATTGTATAATCGTGCTGGTTATGTCAGTATGAGATCTGGTTTTATTTTTCCTGAAGATTGACAAGCGACAATCGGTAAAATAGTAATCCCTGAAAAGGCGGTAAAGACATTATATGCATTGACCTTTGTGTTACGTTTTTGCCAGTAAACATTGACATTGATCATAAAAAACTCATTTCAACATACTATAGAAATGATTAACTGAATTAAAGCATTTTGAAATGTATATAGCATTGTATTTTATTGCGAATCTCAAGTATTTGCAGTGTTGAAAAATAGTTAATTTCAGGCGCGGACCCAGACCGTGGCGAATGTGGCTCGAGCCACGGTTAGAATTTTCAAACTTTTGAGATTATATTTTATGAATAAGATTAGGAATTCTGCTGTATTTACTTGAAATACAGCAAATTGACCAACAATGTGTCTTTAATTGAAGAAATTAGATTTATATTTTTTATAATTTACTGTCTTTTTGACGTGGTTTTTGAAAAAAAGCACGAAAACTTCAAAATAAACCTCTTGCCTTTTTGTAAAATTTTACAGTTAAACGCTGAGCTGTTAAACTGCCGAAAGCATGCCGAATTTTTCCGAGTTTGCTCGGAAAAGGTTCGTAACTTCGAAGCTGCGATCACAGCTTTAATTTGCCACGGTCAAAATGTAAAAAGTTTCGCAATTGCTGCTAAATATAGTAGTCTTCAGCCACGGTGCAGGGCTGCAAACCAATCACAGAGCGAGCTGTAGTCACGTGAGCCACGGTGAGCCACGGTGGATGGATTTTGATTGCGCAATACAAGTGATCAACTATAAACTTCGAATCTTCGATACTTATCTTCTTCACGGGATTATAAAATCACAAGCCAAAAGCTATTGCTACTTCTGTTCACTGTTTGATAGAAGAATGTAAAAAGATTGGTGTTATTGGAAAGCAATGGGAAACTTTATAATCACAACTAGAAATTTTAAGCGAAAATATTTCAGTGTCTGTTGTATCAACAATGTGATTGGGAGGAAATAACCAGCCAAGAAAAGCTGTGGTGTATAAGCTCTACTCTGGCGATATCATACTGCAAACATCGGAAAGTTATAAACTACAGCTCTTATTGAAATTTAAAATATCCAGACATAATGTTCCTGTTTCGTATGAATGTTTAAACCACATATATTAAATTTGCTTTTGACAGCTGGGATTAAAATATACGTACTAATTGGCTATTTGTTTTTCAATATCCATACGGCAGCATTTGCAATGTTAGTGATACATAAACTTTTTCTAAAACTGTTATCATTTAAACAAAGTTTTCTGCTCATTAATTTATTGTTGGTTGAATGTGAAATGAAATATTTTACTTTATTATAAGGTTCTATACAATGACCAATCTTTAATTAAAGTTTAACTTTATGGTGTTTTCATTCATGTGCATGTTGCTGAATTCTACCTGCCATTTCCCTCCATACGTCCTCATGCCGACAAACCTCATGCAGACAAAGTTTCATTGCATTATATGTTAACCTACTGCTAATGAAGTTGCTATTTAAATAACTGGCCCCTAGTTAAGGGAGACGAAACAAAATAATGCTGTTAACGAATCATTATGTCACCCAAGTCCTCGGAGTCATACTTAGTTGCTTATTTAAACAATTCCATGATTTATAGTCTCAAATTCAGCTGCCGGTACTATTGTTACTATAACTATGATGGTCAAAGCTCAATTTTCATATAAGCAAATTTACAGCATTTTGGCTATCCTGTTTGATCTTATTACGATTTGTTTTAGTCAATAAGTAGTTATTTGATAAAGCATAAAAATTTTACGTACATGAAAATAAAGAAAAGCGAACTTTGAAAAGGAAACATCTTCAGGTAGCTATTTTCTTAAATCTCACACAAGAAAAATTCTTTTTCAGATCTAGTATAATTTAAGTTAGTTTTTTTTTAAGATAAGAACAAAATTACATTGCAGTACATGAAAGCTGACATTCTAATGAAACATTTGTTTATAAATAATGAACAAATTTTCACGAAATAGTCATTGAGTCCTAAATACTAAATGCCTTTTTGTACATTAGCTAGTGGGTGTGGTCTCTTCAGTGCATGTTCTGTTACATTTGCTTGGAAAGAGTGTCTGTTTGCTTACTTCAGATACCTCACCAGTCTTGAATTGTCTAACATTACAAAATTCAATTCTAGTTATTATTATAACATCCAGTCCATGTAATTAGAGTGTTCATTTCATTTAAAATTGCATTTGCCTGGGACATAAATGATGCAGCTCACTCCGTTTCAAACTCCCTTGAAAATTCTTATAAAATGCTATAAAAATTACTGCAGTTTCGAAAAAAAGTGGAGAATGTGGCTAAGAATTACTCATTTTCAGTTATATCCTTGATATTCATACTTGCCTCAGTCCTTCATTTTGCTGTTCAGGCATACTATCTACTTAATCTTGTTATATGATACTGTAGGGAAGTCCGGATTACTTCTTTAAAATGTTTAAAGAGATTATCATAATGGCAGTCCGTATGTTAAGCTTTGTTGTGATGCGCTTCTCTTGTTTTGTGTATCGAAAATTCCCATCCTTTAAAAATCATTTTATTACATTGTGCAAACCAGTAAAAGTGCCTGGAGACGATTATTTCAAAACACACTTTCCAAACTTATTTTGGTTTATACAAGTAACAATGTTTTCGAGGTTCCAACTAAAGAAATTTTGTGAAGAAATATTTACCTTCCTCTCCCCATAAATCCTTAATTATGAACTGCGCCACAGTCAGTTTTTCTGCTGGATCCCCGCCTGAATTTAGATAAGTTGTTGAAACTACGATAGTTGCTGCAAAGCGCGGAAGTTAACAAACAATCAATAATGTTCATAAATAAAGTTATAAATAAAATTTCATAATCATTGAGTACAGGTTTCATGTTTTCTTTACATTACTTATGATCACATGCCATATCAACTCGCCAGTGTCTTATACACACTTACACATGCTCAAGAAAACTGTCAAGTTTAAAAATTTAGCTATTACACTACTCTCTACATTTAATTATATTTTCATCTTTTTTGTATTTCCTCTTAAAAATCTAATTGAATCAAAACAACTACCAGGATTTCACTTCTCTTTAAAATTGTGTTTGGACGCCACAATCAATTTTTTCAAATTAATGAAACAATTGGATCACAAAATTTAAGTAGTAAATGATTGATATCAACCACTCAAACTTCTTGACACTTTTCAGCCTTTGACGCCTTGTCATTGAAGAAGTTTGTTTTTTTCTAAAAATATTATGAGGCAGAGACATACGGCATAGGTTAGTAAAATTGTTTCTTAAATTTATTGATTATAACAGTGGATATATTTTGCGAACGCAAAAAGTATTCCTGAAGTGTTTTTTATTCTTTAATATCTCGCAATTAACTTCAGAAATTGAAATAAAGTAATAACGCCATTGAATAACTTAATAAAATATAACATATTTTTAATGGCACATAAATTTCATTGCTTGGACGTTTGTAAACGAAGACAAAGACAATTTTTGTGCGACCATACAGCATCTGCATATCAAATTTATTAAGAATATTTGTATTGTTTTAGTTATCATAAAACGAAGTCTTTACTAAATTCATTCAATTTTCTTTGTTCTGTTTTCAGACCAAACTTCGACCTTTCACAAAAATTATCAGTACAGATTTTAAAATTCAAACGACCCACTCTATGTACAAACAAATTTCGCCTACTTGGTCACGTGCCAGTTTGCTTGTTGTCATTTGCGTTAAATATTTATTAGTCTTAATGAACAGACTCATCACCCAAGATTTACAGCGCTTAACCTATATTTCTGGAATTCTTATTTCCACCGATACAACATGTGCTCAATCTTGACAAAGAGCTACAAGATTATAATGTACTTCAACCAGAGTACTTTAGCATCGTAATCATGATTTCATTGTTTACTTTATGCTTAAATCACTGTAAATTTTGTGGTAAAATCAGGCAAAGTTCAAATAATATAAACATAAATATATTTTTCTGATTGATGCATAACAAGGCAAAGGATTTGCTAATAATGACGTACATGAATTTTGCGTTATAAAGACATCATGCAAGAGCCTATTACATTTATAAATCATTTGTTTGAGTTAAAATCATATAAACTGGTTATTATTGCATGTATATGCGTAGGAAGAGGATGGGGGGACTTGGATAGGGGTCTTTAGTTCCCATGATGTAAAAATCGGGTCTCACCTACACTTTTAAAAGTAGGATAACATTGCAAAAACATTACGTTATTACGTTACTATCTGTGACAATATGTGTCCTGTAAAATATATATTTAAATATATTTTGTTCTAATCACATAAAAATTTGGAAAAAATTATTGCTGTGGACGAGGCTCAAGTTAGTGGTGTGACACCGGTGCACTGAATGTGCAACAGTAAAAGCTGATGGACTGAAACTCACTGAAGAAAAATTTATAGGGAAAAAATGTGCCAATGTAAAAATTTTCTTTTCCAATACCTGCTTTGACGCCTGCTAAGATTAATAAGAAATCCAAGAATACTAGAAATACAAAGCCACCAAAAATGGCAATTTACAGATAGATGACGGTAAATTTGGAAAAATTAAAGTTTTGCA